AGTCCAAAGGACTCCTTTGAGTATTTTCAGTAAAGTTGGTCTGGTTTTTTAAAATGTTTTTAATTTTTATTTATGTGGAAATGTTTTAATTTCACCATTGTATTTGTGGGACAGTTTTGCTGGGTGTATGTATGTTTCTTGGTTGTAATTTTGTTTCTTTAAGAATTTTCTATATTTCTCTCCATTACCTTCTTAATTTCATGGTTTCTGTTGAGAAATCAGAACTTAATTTTATTGGTTCTCCTTTGTATGGAACTTTTCATTTTTCCGTAACTGCTTTCAGGATTCTTTCCTTGTCTTTGATTTCAGAGAATTTGATTATGATGTGTCTTGGTGATTTTCTGGTGGTGGTGGTTGGGTGCTCCTGCCTGGGGTTCATTCCGCTTCTTGTATGTTTACCCTTTTGTCTTCCAGTGTGCTAGAGAAACTGTTTTCTAATAGCTCTTCAGGTATCTTTTCTGTCCTTTTGTTGGTCTCTTCCTGTTCTGAAATTCTGATCTCCCATAAGTTATTCCTCTTCATTGTGTCCCACATGTGTCTTAGACTTCCTTTGGATTTTTTTATTCTTTCTGATTATTCTCGTATCTTACTAGTAATGAGAGATTTATCCTCAGGCTTACTAATTCTGGCTTCTATTATTCCTGTCTGTTTCTTTGCCTTTTCAATCTATTTTCCATTTCTGAAATCTTAGTATTAATCTTTCAGGTTTCTATTATCAGGTTTTGTATTATTTCTAACCCTTTGTTTTGTTTGAATTGTTCCTATAGTGCTTTCCTGAAGTCTTCCTTATTTTCTTTGACATTTCTGTCATTCATTTGGAGATGCCTCTTGAATCCTTTTCCAGGTAGTTCCAATGCCTTTTTATCCCCCAAAATGTTTTCTAGATCTTCCTCTAGGTTTCTTGGTTGAAACACTCCATCTTGTTTCTTCATGTAAACAGAAATTGTCTGCTGCTTTTTACACATTGTGGTGTTGTGTATTTGTATTAAGTTGATGATTGTATGTTGGTGTATTTTTTAACACTCGCCCAACTGCTTCCTGGTGGGTGTGATTTCTCTGTTCTTACTTTGATGTTCAGGCATTTCAGTTCAGTATGGATTTAGGTGGTGTTGGTTGTTGTCTTTGATGCTGTGCATTGGTGTTGGTGTTGCCCAATCAGCAGGGCCTGGTTGTGGCTGGGCCATATGGATGCAGTTGCTGTTTCCTGTCGTGTGAACCAAGAAGAGAAACACATACACAAAAGAGAAAGTGAACCTAACGCAAACCAGCAAACAACAATGAAAAAAGGAAAATATTAAAGAAAATAAAAAAGCAGGCAACATCCAGAAAAATAATAAAGAAGCCAAAGAGAGAAAAATAGAATAATAAAAAAGAGAAAAATAGAAAGAAAGAAATAGACCTAAATACAATTAGGGAGGGGACTGAGTAAAAAGGAAGGAGACTGGAGAGTAGTAAAAAAAAAAGAAAGAAAGAAGAAGAAGGAAAGGAAAAAAGAAAAGAAGGACATGATTAGAAAAGCTAATTAGCAAAAAAAAAAAAAAAGAAGAAGAAAAATTATAGGGAAGATAGAAATATTAGAAATCAAGCACGAGCAAGGCAATGGGGAAAGAATAAACAAACAAAAACAATTAAAGGGGGGAAAAAAAAAAAACACCAAAAACAGAGTAGGTGCCAGACCCAGAGAGGAGAAAATTCTGGGGTCTCCTGCCAGTCAAGGACCTCATGTCTTGGATGGGTATGGGATGAGACAGTACACTCAACCCTAGAAGGAGTACCTGTATGACTAGGTGTTGTTTATTCTGGACACCCAATCTGGAAGTAGTTCATGCAGACCCCAAAGCAGTTGGGAGATCAGGTTGTTTCTGTCCCAGAGGTGAGCTGAGGGATCGAGGTTCCTATAACCCAGAGCTGACCAGAACTGGCTCTGCTAGTCAGTAATAGACCATACCTGGTCCCAGATGGTGAGGTTGGTGCTACTAGCTCTCCACGTTCTTTGATGTGTCTTTGCCTGGAGAACAGACACTTCCCTAGGAGTATATGTGGATGGTGGCGGGCCACACTTCTGGTCACCAGGGCAAGTGGGGTATGAGAAAACAAAACAAAAAAACAACAAATGTTGCCACTTTTTCTCCACTAATAAGCAGTATGCCACTGTGCCAACTAGTGCCCTCTTGCCTTCATGTTGTTGTTGTTAATTGCCATCGAATCAGTTCTGACTCATAGCAACCCTGTATAGGGTTCCGGAGGAGTGGCTGGTGAGCTTGAACCGCTGACCTTGCAGTTCAAACCAACATTTCAGTCCAGCTCATTAACCCACAGTGCCATACCAGGTGCCTTGGGCTTCATATTGTTAAGTGCCATCGAGTTGACACCGACCCGTAGCGACCTTGTATAGATGGCCACATCATGCTGGCTGGGCTGAACAAATCTCTAGTCTCTTTTCTGTTTCTCCCCCAAAGTGTCCTAGTGAGAGCTAGTCCAGGACTGTTTCTGCACATCTGGAGCAGGGCCCACTTGAACAAGATCAATGCAGACAGCTTGCCCCTTCTTCAGTGGGACCCACAACCATGGTGCTCAACCCCGTCCAGACTTCCCTGTGGGTATATTTAAGAGGGGGCCAGCCTTTCTTCTGGTCACCAGAGGAGTGTGGGGAACAAGAAAAAAACAAATCACCTTAGTCTCAGTGAGCCACAGATATATTTCAGTAACACCAGTAGGTTTTCTTATCTCTAAAGTCTTTCACAAAATCTCAAGATGGCTGCATCAATCTGGTCAGCGGGCACCAGTCACCAGTCTCTCCTTTTTGTCGACGTCTGCTCAGCTCTCCTAGTAAGCATTCAATCCATTTCTTTATCCCTTCCTTGGAAGCTCACAGTCTCAGGACTATCATCTGTATCTGATTCATTTGGTTTCCCTATCTTTGTTTTCAAGGGTCTGTCTAGGTATCTTTGACAACTCTCCCAAGAGCTCAAAATCAAACCTTGTTAATGTTTATCTTTTTGAACCTTAACTTGGTAATATGGTATCTTGCAAATAGTTTCTAATGTAATAATGGAAGCCATTCTGCTTAATAAAAAGAGGCAACCTAACTCGGGCATTGGTGTGCTCCGTTCCAGCAGCCATGCAAAGCCACTCTCTTCTGTCTCTTTGTTCTTCTTATTACCTAAGTTCAGTTTATAGCCCTCTTTTCCTCTTTCCCTCCAGTACTCATATTTAATAATTTGTCCACTCCTGATCCTCTTTCTCTCCACTGTGATTCTCTTTTTGACACTTCCCAGTATTGCTGTCAGTTATAGCTCACATAACCTCACCCTTGGACATGCCAGGTAGTCTCCTAACTTAATGGCTCTTCCACTGAAAAAAATTGAAGCTTGACTTGGGTTAGTTCACCTTTCTCTTTTATAAATTTGGGCTACATATCATGGGGGTTTCTAGGGTGGAATGAGAGATTGTATGAGCAATCTAAATAGCTAACACTTAGTAGATGCTCAAGAAGTTCTTGAAAATGCCCATTTCATGTACAATTTCTTAGCTCAGAATACTCCACTGGCTTCCGGCTACCTATAGGATACACCCCAAGTCCACTAACTTGGGACTTTTCAAGGCCCCTTCAACCTACTCTACTATATTGTACTGGCCTTTCCCCCAACACACTCAGTCTTGTCCTCTTATCTGTCTGAACTGCTCTTACCATTTCTTCTTTGTATCTAGCTTCAGTCCCACAGTGTTCACACAAACTCTTACCCTACCTTAGCCCTGTCTGCCTCCTTTTTGTTCTTCTTCATAGATATGCGGTCGTTAGGAGCCGTCAAGACGGTTCTGCCTCGCAGCAACCCTGTGCATTACAGAGTGATATAATGCCCAGTCTTGCATTATCCTCACAATTGTTACGTTTGAGAAACCGTGTCACTCCATCTCGTTGAGGCTTTTCCTCTTTTTTGCTGCCCTTCCAGTCTACCATTCATGATGTCCTTCCTGACAACATGTCCAAACTATGAGAGATGAAGGCTTGCCACTCTTGCTTCTAAAGAATGTTCTAGCTGGACTTCTTCCAAAACATTTTTGTTGCAGATATGTTATAGTCAAAGAAAAGATTTATATCCCTCCCCCAAATGAGTATCTCTTTATTCTACTGGCAAAACATGCCATAAGCAAAAGAGACCATGGTCCAAAAAGTGGGAACAATCATATTTTTATTTTACTTTATTCATTGTACCCCAAAGTATATTTTTATTCTAAACTATGTAAATCAATTATAATCCAGGAGATATCTACCAAAGATGCCTTCTGTATTATGAAGTTTGCTATAACCTTCAAAAACATCAGATAGGTTTTTTTGGGTTTTTTTTGCTAGACTTACTTTGGTTCATGCAAAGTTTGATGCTTAGTTAATAAAACACCCTAAATGATATCTTATAAACAGTAGGTCTCAGCAAACACTGATTTAATAAATGGAGAGAGAGAAGGAAGGAGACAGGGCATTTTGGTTGATTCTTAGTTATACTGCAAAGCAGTGTCTCTCATCTGGGGCCAATTTTGTCCCTTTAAAATGTTGGTTAATGTGTGAAGACATTTTTCATTATCATTACTGGAGGGGTTATTGTTACTTGTATTGAGTAGTTAGAGGCCAGGAATACTGCTGAAAATACTACTATACACAGAGCAGCCACACAATAGAGAGTTTTCTGGCCTACGACGTCAGTTGTGCGAAGCTTGAGAAACCTGCTGTAAAGGAGTAAGTCAGTGAATTCTGCTCTGGGAGAAGATAAATATATAGAGTCACTTTGAAAGAGTAAATTAACATTTAACCTTTTAGAACAAGCCAAGTAAAAACAAAGCACACAAAGAATAAAGCAATACTAGAATGAGATAAACATATTCTAAGAAGGTGAAGGAAATGGTGTAACTGTAACAAGGGGAAATCAGAGTAGTTTTTGATAATAGTCATGCATTCTGTTTTCTGATGCCCTTCTTCCCTGGCTCCTGTTTTGTCTTAACAGTCCTTCCTTTACCTAGCCTGGTATATGACTATGTCCATCCTGGGACATTATAACAACTTTTTTTTCGCTGCTCACCTTCTTGACATCGCTATGGGATTCAAGACTTTAAGAACCATCTTATCATCTGTAACTCACAATGGCAAACAGGTAAAAGCTTATCTCTCCCACCTCACCCCACAGAAACAAAAGAAGCCACAAATAAAGAAAGAAACAAACACAAATTCATCATCAAATGAAAAAGCTCATTTTAAAAGCCTTTTAAAAAAATAAATTAAAAAAAAAAAAAAAACCTTTTATATTGAATGGAAGAGCTGTACTTTTCACATTTAAACAATAGCAACTGACAAGTTTAAAGCCCCCTAGACCTAGGTTCAAATCTTGTCTCAAACAAGTAGCTGTTGTGACTTTGAATAAATTATTTAGGATCTGTAAATTTTGGCTTCATCTTTTCGTGAAATAGAAATGATCAAAGAAGCTGCTTTATAGCATTTTTGTGACAATTAAATATAAAAGTATGGAGAGAGGCCTTAACACAAATCTGGCACATATAAGTGCTCAGGAAATAAATTACTTTGGTCTCATATAGTGTTTGCATCATTTGATACTATGGGGAACCAGACTTATATTACAGTATTCTGATGCACGAGTTGCCTTGGTAACAAAACATTAGCTGCTGCATCACTAATTTAATGGCATATTTTAAAACTGGATAGTCATCTGTTCTTTTCTCTACTTAAAACTGAATTAAATACTAATAATATTTCATACTAATTTGGAGAAAAACTATTGGGTCTATATAATATTAAAATGGAATCTAGGTATAATGTTAAAACTTTCCTTGATTATAAAACATATCCCAGAAGCATGCCTCTCGTAATTCATTCTATATTCATCAAGTGCCTTTGGGTGTAGCGCATTTTATGTTAGTACCAAAGAGTCCTTTATTCCTAAAATCTTACAGTCCAGCAAAAACATTGAACTCTGTCCACATTTAAACTCACAATCATGAACAAAAGGCTTCTCAATTTCAGTATATGGCTCTTGCTTATGTCACTTTAATTTCTGAATGTGTCTACAATGTACATGTTCCAGTGGTAGTAAGTGTACTCTACTCATTCTCCAGTCAGGTAGTAAATAGTTCAGGCATGTTGTGGTGCTTGTTACATACATCAAGTCGGTCCTGAATCATATGGGATTTCTGAGGAGCTGCTGCTAGGTTTGAACCACCAACCTTCTGGTTAGCAGTCCAGGGATTATTCACTATTATCACACTAGAAGTCCAAGCATGCTTTGGTGATATTGAGGTATGGATTCCAGACCACCATAAGACGTATGTAACGTAAATATTGCAATAACGTGACTCACAAAAATAACCGATTTTCCCAGTCACATGAGATGTTTACAGTATACTATAGTTTATTACCTGTGCAGTGTTGTTGTTGGTAAGTGCCAACTCATGATGAGGCTGTACAGGATTTCCAAGGAGCAGCTGGTGGGTTTGAACCACTGACTTTGTGGTTCGCAGACTAGTGCTGATCCTAGAGCGGCATAGCAGGAGTCACACCAGGAGTGTGCAAGAGCATCATGAAAATGTTTGAGACGTTGTGGGAATTACCAAAATGTGACACAGAAATAAGATTTCTGGAATGCAAGATTACAGTAATTCTTCCAATTATAAAAATATATTTTTCAAATGCAAGATCTGTGGAACACAATAAAGCAAAGCCCAGTAAAATGTATGCCTGTATAGTCCATGGACTGAGGATGCTATCTCTGTGGCATGTTTACAGAAAAGGACCGACGTGATGTTCAGTCCATTGCTGAACTTTTGTGGTATTTTATTTTTGAGGTATCAGTTTTTCATTTGCAGATATATGAGGGTGTTTCAAAATGTTTGTGGAAAAGTGGCACTAAAAGATAGTGATGTCTGGAACTGAATAGTTCTGGGAGGAAAACCATATAGAATATGCAGTGCTATTGCATTTCATTTACAAGAGGAAATTTAAATGCTCTATTAAGGCAATTTGCTTTTTCTCCAGAGAATTGTAAACTAAATTTTAAAAGACCTAATTCAATATTTGTAGCTGCAATTGAGGGCATATAGGTAAATTATAACAAGAAGAAGTAGATTGAAAAAATAATGTACTTTTAGTACATTTTTAATTTCTGTGATATCACTAGAAATATAAACATGATAAATAAGTCATTAAAATGCATATTATACAAGATCTCTCTCTCTCTCTCTCTCTCTCTCTCTCTCTCTCTCTATATATATATATATATATATAT